ACAGAGGTAAAAGCATAGCACAGCCAATGTGCTGTAGTTTTGTCATAAGGTAGATTCACTAAGATCAGCCCTGTACCCACTATGAGGCTCACGTCAGTAAGTTTTCATCTGGTAAAACTTACGAACCTTATCTACACTGTGTTTTTATTGTATAATAATTCTTGTGTATGGTAAAAGACGCAGCTTTTTATGCTTAAAAAGGAAAGCTCTGTGGCTTTCTCTTACTAAATACAGTCTCCCTGTCTCAAGACAAGATTTAGCAGGGAGGTACTTTTACCACATTAGCTGTCATCTGGATAAAACCAAATCAAACCTTTATGCCACAGCTTAGGAGGGCAAACACAAACCCTAAGTTTTTCAAAACTACCAACACTTGCAGAACCACCTGCAGTGCAAGTTTCTGTCATGATGATCCACTAAGCATATTTCTAACCAATCTTATGAGATAAAGTGAGGAACATTTACTTCCCTGAGGCAGTATTTCCTCCTCCTTCCTTTGCTTAAAAAGACACCAACACCTCATCTAGTTCTGCTTCCATTTAGCAGAGGACCTCAGGTCTCAGATCTTGTCCATGTAGTAAAAACCAGAGACCAAGGAAAGCTTATGAGGCTGGGATTTCGTGGGTGGTTTAGGCCAGTCTGTGGTTAAACTGCTGCCAGTGGGGCACTCAGCCCTGCACATAAGTTGTGCCTTTGCTTGTGGAGGGTAAACTTATGATTCCTGATGGCAAGACAGGCTCTGATGAACCTCCCTTGATTATGAAATCCCCCCTTAGCCATCCTTTGCTTCCTGAGCCTGTGCAGGCTTTTGTGAATAACGTAAATACGAACATTACAGTTCATTATAAACCAACTCACTGGCTTCAATAAACTTACGCAGTGCCAACAGAAAGGTCCCTTTATACCGATTTAAGCCAAAATAAAAACCAGCAGGACTTACACCTGTATGGAATTTCAGTATCATCAATCAGGCGGACATGTCTTACTTAGAACTCCTACAGAAAAATATTCTGCTCTGTTTAGAAGGTCCTTCTCTGTCTGAACAGCTTTGGGTTTTCCACATAACTGCTGCAACAGTGATGATATTTCCACATAACAATTCCCTACCATGACACTTGGGAAAACCTCTCCTCTGTGAGGTGTCATCTGCAGCAGATGCACTGCTCTGCCTCAAGGGCTCCAGAGATATTAATTCCGTTTTGGAGGAAAATGTGTGACTAAGTAGAGGTTAATGTTTTGAAAATTTGAATTACAACAAAAATTTTCACAGAACTTTACTACTATATGAATTTTTAAATTTTTTATTTTTACTTTTTAGTCTTGGTTTTAGATGAAACAAGTGGAACTGTATCAAAAGTCTTCAGGACAGGACTCATTTGCTGCCAGCTCTGTTTGAAGGTTGTCTACAAGTCAGACTGTCCTGTCTGACACCAGGCTTTTAGTAAACAACCAGCATCACTGTTTTCTTTCACTTATCACAGAAAGGTTCATACCATTATGGAGTTCCAGTCATTTAAGATATTGGTCTAAGAAAGATGGAATATCTCAGCTAAATTTTAAACAGCTCAGTGAAATAGCCCCCGAAGTTTGAGTTGGATAAAAGTCATAGGAAATAAATAATTATGAAGGCAGAAGGCCAAAACAAGATTTAAAAGGCTTTTGAACCCTATCCAGACAAGATCAGGGGAAATTAAAATGATTTTCTGAGAGATGGATCCTGGCAGGTATATTTTAAAGTAGTGTCTCCTGAAACCTTCCTTCTATGCTTCGATCTCTCTCAGCTTTGCTGTGAATATGGTTAATGAGGTTTTGAAAAGAAAATCTTTAGGATTATAATCTACCTTCTTTCCTTATGCCAGATTCCTATCCCCTTGTATATAAATTCTTCACAGACACTGTTAAATTTATTCTGTCTCCCTCCCTTTCTCTCCCTCTGGGAGCCGAGGAAGCAGGCTTTTCTAATTTTCCATCAGGAGCTATTAAAACTCCTACTGGCAAAGATTAAGTCTCTGTCTCTTGTCTGCAGCTACCTTCACTCACAGAAGCCTTTTCTCCCTCTCCCCTTCCTGTTTTTGGCTGTGGTGGAAAAGTTTGATGTCTCCTCTAAGTCTTTCCTCCTTCCCTTTCTCATTCTTTATCCTCTACACAACACTCTATCTGATACTTCTTTTCACCTCAACCTTTCTTGCCATCTCATATCTCGCCTTGCCCTATGATTTTAACTCTGGATCCTCCTGGTTCTTTACATCTCAGTCTTTCATCTGGGATGTCAACCTCAGTATCAATGAGCTTTCTTGATCTGCAGCTTCATGTGTTGTTCCCTCATGTTTTTACCACATTTGTAGCTCCTTCAGAACTTCTCTTGCCCATGGAAAGGACCATCAACTTTACTTTCTCTTAGCCAAACACATCTCTCAGCCAAACACCGATGCCTTCCCGTGCTCTTACAGCTCATCTACCTGCCACAGATTCTTCACTTCATGACACAAACTCTTATAAGACCTTTCTGCAGCTTACTCCTCAGCAGCTTAGTCTCTTCTTACTCCTCTTTCACAGTAAGACTTAGGGAAGAAAAAAAAAAGAAAAAATAATCTTGGCTCTGCTTTTCCACTCCCTGCTTTCTGATTACCCTCTCCTTTTCCCTTTCAGCTTTATTGAATATGCTTTTTGCAGTAAGCATCAGAAGTCCTTTTCTCCACCTCCATGCTAGACTCTTTCAAATACCTCTATAGCAGTCCAAAAAAAAAAAAAAAAAAAAAAAAAAAAAAGGACCTTAGTAATCTCATAATTGTAAAATATTTCACCCTTCTGGCTCTCTCAGGTGACTTCAACATACTTCAAATACTATTCTCCCTTGGCTTTTATGTCTCTTGTCTCCTCAGTCTTCCACTTTTTTCTTTAGAAACTTCTCATTTTTTAAAAACTTCAAATATCTGATACTATTCCTCAGATCACCTTCTTTCCTGCTTCTTACAAGTATACTCGGGTAATCCCAGACACATCAATTTTTACAGTATTTTATGTTGTTACTCAAAACAATTTGAGATGGAGATTTTTACTGTTATCATCATTGGTGCTGCTGTGTTGGTGCTTTAATGTAATTTAAACTATTTTGATAATCCAAATTCAGATTGATTTTCTGTGGTAATGCAATAATTATATAACTGAACTAAACCAGAAGTAATATTTCTCTTGATTTCTCGTTCTTCTTCTAATCATTGTCCACACAGACAATATTCTGGATGCTCAGAATTTCTTAATTAATTCCAGAATCAAGTTTATGCCTCTTTTCTTTCTATTGGTCTATTTTTCTACCTTGTATATGTCTGGGTCTCCGGAAATAACTCATTCCTTGTACAAATACCTCACTACCAAGTTAAGGTCATGCTCCTCCTTGATCTTTCCATGGCACCAGGAGTACCCCTGAAATGCTTGGCGGTTAATAGCTGATCATTGATTTAAGTGGGAAGTAAGAAACTGAATATTTTATCGGATCTGGGCCATGGTCTCCCCTCAGGGAGCTTTTATCCACATAAACTCAGAGTATCTGTGTAGAATGCAAAGGTATGGCTCTGCTTGAGAGATCTGCAATACAAGTACTGACAGACAATGTCTAGTTCCATGTTATATGAATAGACAAGGAGAAGTCAAGTCAATTCTGCTCTCTCAAGAGTTTCACATCATCTTGGAAGTAGAGCAAATACCAGACTTCCTCCCTTGCCCCAGGGTGACACAGAGTGATGCAGTCCTTCTGATTCTGGAAAGCCCCTAACCAGTTGGCGCTGTCACTCCATGGAGCAGTCTCCACTGGTTAGAAACCCTAAATTCATCTGAAAACACAGCATCTCCAGCAGTACAAAATGCTATTTGTGTGATGGATGAGAGGCTGGAAGATGATGACTTTTCACTTTGCAATTGGCTGGGGAGCACCCTGACCACCAGGCTGTAGCCTAGCTTTGACTATGTGGGTAAAAAAGCACTGTCCATTGCTGCTCAAAATAAAATTGTGGCACTGTGCAAAAAGTAAATGAAGGGCAGGAGGGGAGCGGCTCATAGTTTGTTTTTCTTTTAGGGGTAGTACTAAATTAGGGAATCCTGGCCTGAGATGGGAGCGATTTTCTGGAAAGAGCAATGAGGTAAGAAAACTAACACTAACAGCAACATACTAGTCACAAAAATGTACAAAGAGAGGGTGATTTACATACAAAATGCCATACTAAACTTGGGATGATGGAAAAAAATGGTGGACAGACCCTTTTCCCTTTGACCATGCTTTCCCTTGACCATAAAGGAACGCCCTTTATTTCCTGAAAGCAAAATAGTCCCTTTCCCTCAGCTCCTGGCAATGACTTACGATGGTAAGGAATAATATTCAAGTCTTGGCCACACCCACACAGCTCCAGGCTCTGCCTCCACATAACTACAAAAATTAACCTGCCTTTCGCCAAAACCAGACCCTCTTTTGTTTAATCTTTTATGTCTGATTTTTATTCTGTTAGTTTTATCACTCCCTTATTGTACAATAAATGCATTTTATATTTTGATTGGTAACAACATTCAACATTTTTTATTTGTTATATTTATTTGTGTTTTTTTCATGGAAGTTGTAAAAAGTTTAAACATTAAAGAAAATCAGGCAAACCCTTACTCTATGTTTCACTGCTGAGAGTGGGTTTTTGCAGTGGTAAATGCATTAGAAGCATCCAGAGAAAGAACTTGGTCTCATTCTCTAGGTATTGGAGTTTCTTTAATTCTATGTCATTTGCTGATGACCTGGAAACACCAAGAGCTGAGGTTTCAAATACGTGTTGCTTGAGTTACACATTTCAGGACTTAGGTGACTTTCTCAGTTAGTTCGGTCCCTTGAGTATCAAAACTGTAAATGAAGCCAGTTAGACCTTTTGATGATCATCAGCTCTGAAACTATTGCATCATTTACACTTCAAATGTCATGTCACATTCAAATTGAAAAAAAAAAAAAACTTAGAAACAAAACTTACTCCTGTGACAGTACCATATTCATCGTCAGAGAACCTTCCCAGGGAAAGATTCAGGGGTCATAAAACATGGTTCCACAAGGGATGGATAAGATCCCAAATTCCCTTTACATATGCAGAGAAGAAACTATTCTATCCTTATATTTTAAAAATGCAGATCTTTTTCTTCATCTCAGAAAGTGTGGTCACCCGTCTCTTTCTCTCCACATCCTTTGTATTCCTGCAAAAATCAGAGAAAAGCAAGAGAAGCAAAGACTGGAAAGAATGTATCCTGAGAGGGGGACAGAAGGGTGGGAGGTAAAACCAGGCAGGTATGACTTATTTAATCTCTGGCGTATTAATCAGCTGCCAATTCAAGAAGACACACAGAAATGAAAAATCCTGAGGAAATTGCTATCAATAGATTGCCACAGAACTATTTGCAATCAACAGGACCATGAACTATATTGGACTTTCATGGGCACTGCAAGAAGGGTAAGCATCCACATTCTGCACAGCACTACCTACCACATTTGACTGACAAACCCTCTCAGTAGAGTGACAATATCATGTCATTTACATGCTCATAGCAACCTTTTCAAATGGGGCAATATAAATAATTGTGGCAAAAAATAGATGCATGGATAGACAGACAAATGAATGCCTCGTCTATATAATTAATTACAAATTTGGATAAAGAAGCATTGCCTGTACAGTTGAGTTCATAGCCAGCTTGTGGGATGGAGAAAACTTTTCCTTGCTGCTTGCTGAAAGCCCCCCACTAAACCAATTAAGCAAACAAACAGAAAAACCCCACTTTTTAATTATTCCTTAAGGAACACATAAAGCCAGCTTCTGATTAGAGGCAAGCCAAATGCAGTTAAGCAAGCTGTATAATATGAAGAAAAAAATGTTCTTCTCTTTATGTTGACATAATTAACATTGCTATTAACAAGAACAGAAATATATTCAGGAAAAAATGAGGCAGAATCTTTTATACAACAAATAACAACTTGTGAAAATGAGCCACAGGTGAGATAGGAGAAAACAAAATCCAAGCTGTGACTATAATATTGAATACTCAAATTTACATCTTACAGTGTTGGAAAAACCATTACAGTTATTAGTGTGAAGAGCCCAAGGAAGACAATAACAGCAATGACACATGACCCTCATGAGTCCCATGCTAAGGTTTGAAATTTAATGCTTCAGAACACACACTTGCTTGAGACTCAAGGAATCTATAAACTGGAAATGGAGTTTTATGTGATGAAAGACAAGTAGACCAGTCATGGTTTATGAAGAAGCACAGGGAGCAGAAATGCATTTCGTGGACATCTGATAAAAGCCTTCACTTTAAATCCTTCAAACAATGGAGCAGAGAAAGTCCCTTGGCTGGTGTGAGCAAAGAATTGGTGGTGCCGAGGATGTGAAGTAGCCATTCATCACCATGGCATGGGAGAAGTTGTATGAAGGATGAGAAAAGCCCTCCCAAGCACCCCGAGCCCAGGCGGTAATTACGTCAGGCATTTGACCCACTGGAACCACTGTTAGCTTCTAACAGAGGCACGGTTGTACAGCCAAACATTCACAATCTTAGTCATGTTTAAACAGCTTCCAGTAAAGATGACACAGATCTATTAGAAGAATTTGCACATTCCCTTGGGAATTGATTGGTTTCTTTTGAGTCTTTATCCTCAGCCTTGGCTGCCAACTTCATCTTTACAGTTCTTACCCCTTATTTCACCTAAGAACCTAATAAATGGAATATTAGCCCTAGAGATATTATTTTTGCTACTAGAGAAAATATCATTTAGTGAGGATTGATTGGCTTATGCTACAAATTTCCTAAATTGAATATGTATATTTGATACATATATATTGATTTGAATATGTATATTTAAGAATGTTGCCATAAACCTTAGTTTATGTTTAGAAAGTTTAGAAAGTTTAGAAAGGAAACACTGTTCTCCAATTTTCCTTTAAAAAATTAGTAACTGTCATACAAAATGCATCACCAATCCCAAAGACCTGATGTATCATGTTCTCTTTCCTTTAGCATTTCTTTTTCCAACTCCTTGTATATGATCCAGGGATGCTGGGAGAATAAAATTGTTCTTTCTCACACAGGAACCAATCCTGTTAGGTCAGGCATTCTTTCTGGCTCTGAAGCTGCCTGATGCCAATGAAATCAATAGAGTTATCAACATTTGCAGCAATGGCAGGCAGCATCAGGTCCTTCTCTTCTTTGGCAGTCTGCAGCTCTGGCTCAAAACCATAAATAAAGTGCCTGATCCTATGGGCAGTGAACTAGCACTGCTGCTGGAACCAGCTGGAACCCAGACAGGCTGGAAGGAGTTAACTCAGGGACATCCCCCCACCACTTCCCCTCCCTCTCTCACACACACAGACCAGAAAAAGGTGACAAAGGCATTGTTGTCAGTCCATTGATTGGATCATTTTAATTCTTAAGATCCGGAACCACAAAATTGAATTATTTAAAATCAAAAAGGATCCATAAGACTTTTACAAGATTTTTTTTTTAAAATTACTCCTCTATCATCACCAAATAACTTCACAGTATTTAGCCAAAATCAGTGGAATTATGGCAGCATGAAATGTAAGTTATCTGGTGGTGAATCAAGTCCTTCAGGAATAAAGCTCAAAACCAGGGGTGTAGGAGATACCACCTATCTGACTTAACAGGAATGGACCAGAGACAGAAGTAAACACAGCCATTGTAATTTTCTAGGTGAAGGCATAGTGGTAACTGTGGTAGCAGTTTATCCTTCTCCATTTCATACTCATGTATTTTGTAACAAAATGAAACTAATTAAATTAGTCACTAACTATGTTCCTAGTATTTTTTAGAAGTAAGTTCTGTTTATAATCTTTAACTGACATCAGAGACCTTTTAAGGTGTTTCAAACAAGATTTCAATCAGGTAGACTGATTTTGCTCCTTCCCCTTCTCAGGCTTTAGCACTCTTATTGTGGCAGTATCTTTTTATTTTCTAGTAGAATTCAAGCAAATGCTGCTTACAAAAGCATACTGGAAATTAGTCCACCTTATATATATTTTGATGAAACCAAGCTTACTCTGTATCATCTACTTGATCCTACGCCTAGTCTTTACTGGTCACCTGAATTGTGCCCTGGGTACACACGAGTAGAAAAGAGTCACATTTTTCCTGCAATACTGCATTGCATTCAGAATAATATTGTGTCCAGATCCCCAAAGACATCTTTATGATGTTTTAATTAAATCCTGACCCTGCATCCGTGAGGTGCTGATGAGAAGTTCTGTTATGCAACAGAAGAGTTACAACTGTGGCACTGTGGGAGCAACACTACCAGTACATCAGCTGTCCTTTGGCAGCCAAATGCAGGTTCTAGGCAGAAAAATTGTGGAAAGCCTATCAGGTAAGATCTCCACTTTTAAAATGACCAGTCCATGCAGCCATGGTGAGTGGTCTTCTCCTAAGTGTTTTCCTGAGACTAGTGGTTTAACCTAACCATTGCCAACCCAACCTCTTCCCCTGGCAGAGCCAGTTTTTTGCTCCTAGTTTCCTTCATACAAGCTGACCATTACCACTGAACAAGAGTCAGGAAAATTGAAGACTTCTATCTATCTATTCCCTAGCTCAATGCTTAACTAAAGCCTTCTGTTATCCCTGCTCTCACTCTTTCTCTACAACCATAGAGTATACAGCATTGAAGGCAGAGATCATGCAGACAGAGCTTTAAACCAGAGAGCTCGTATACCCTAAAGGGTGAAGTTGATACAGCATGGAACTGTGACATCTACTTCAGCACCTCCAGCCTAAGTTGCAAACCATGCCTTGCTGCATTCTGCTGCAGCTGCAGTGAGCATCCCTCAAGCTTGGTACTGCAATGCTAGTTTTTCTGTGCCACCTATGGTAGCAAGGTAAATGACTACTAATGAATGTGGTATGCTCGTGTAGGGACATGGTTAGGCATAGATTTGGTAGTGTTGTGTTTATGTTTCGGCTCAATGTTCTTTAGACTCTTTTCCAACATAAAAGACTCTATCTTATGAAGAAGCCACGAGGCATAAACCAGTCTTCACATTTCTCTGCATGCCCCTTTTCACCAGCATCATAAATCCCATTGCTCACTCTATCTTGTGGTGCTGAAGCATCCTCAGCAACTTATCTGCCCTGGAAGATGTGTAGCAGACCCCAGCTAGAGACTGATGAAAGATCTGAGTTCAGCAACAAGATCTTCAAAACAAGCAAAGAAGGTGCTGATATCATGGGCTGGGATTTTACAAAAGGCTCTGAGCAATTCATGAATGCTAAATTTTATTGTATCCTGTGAGAAAAGCACCAGGAGGGAAAGAACTTGGTAAAATGTCAAGCATGAGCAGAGACCTGATACGACTCCTTCTATAAAATTAATTTGGAATAACTTTTGGTTTCATTTCAGTGCAGAAAGAAGATTAGGGTCAGGGGTTTTTTATCTTCTTCTAAAGTGATGCTGTTATTCTTTCTTACATTTCTATAATAAACTTCTATGAATTGCAATCAAATGATCACCTGCAGGATTCAGTTTTATTACCTAAGTCAAATGCATTATCTTTACTCCAATTTTGGAGAGCATTACAGCCATGTGCAGTAGTCCAGACCTGCTTAAAAAATAATAATAATAAAAAAGGCACTCATTTAACTTAACAGCAAGGTTTTTTTCCATCAAAAGGCTAGATAAATCACCATTATCAAGGTCAGTCCTAATTACAGCATATGGCACAAAAAATTCTATAAATACTAATGCATATACTGAGCTTGGAATTTGCTATCTCCCATTGGCTGTATGTACCTCAAAAAAAGAATCTATTACCAACTGGAAGACGAACTAGAACATTATCACACCTCAGGCACAGTCCTTTCCTTAGGATGCTTATCCAGGAAGTGAGTTCCAGTTTGATGTCCAAAAGGGTCTAAAAGGGTTCAACCTCACAGCTCCCTCTTCTCAGGAAAGACACTTAACCATCTTATCTACTATTAAGTTTATGTGCAAGCCTATGTTATGAAGACCACCAGAATGTCACTTAGGTATAAAGTGTCTTTTGAGGCGAAGCCATGAACTTCACCATTAACACTGTCATAGTCATCATATGTATTCTACACATGAATGGAGAAAGTAGGGTAAAATGAATGAGGTTTTAATTTTTATTCCTGCTGGAAAGTTTTCTCCCTTGATTTACCATCACACATATCAAAACAGTTTTGAAGGAAGAAACACTAAATAGTGTTTTGTATTACCATGTAAGATAAAAGCCCTTAAGAGGTAGTTTGAAGATTTGAGGCAGGTGTGCAGTTCCCTTGCTTCTGGCTCTCAGGCTCAAATCAAGTTCACAATGGTCAAAGTCTGTGCCCTTGTGAGGTGCTCTAAGTGAAGGTCCTAACTACCTTTAGGTCCAGCAGGGAGGGCCTCCAGGGCCAGCTTTTGCATGTGGAAAAAGTATACTGTAATATCTGGGCCATTCACTTAAGAGCTGGACTGGATGATTCTTGGGATCCTTTCCAGCTCAGAACATTCTGTGATCCTAATTGATTCTGTGATCTATGCATTGATCAAGTGGCTCCTCCACTCTGACACACAGATGTAATAGTTTCCTGAGAGTGTCAACAAGGGCTCCACATGTGTTTAGCAGCACCCAGACTAAATGCCCAACACCTTTCATCCCTGTTCCATCTGACTTTGTGTGGGACAGGCTCTCTGTCTTGTTGAAGCCTACAAACATAGTGCAGTGTGTTTAGACCATAGTCATTCACTCAGTGCACACACCTAATACTGTAACATTAGGTGGGAATGGAACATTGCAATGGGAATGGAAGAAGTCTGATGCAATAACCCTGTTCCTGCTTTGTAGGAGAAAGATCTTAATGCTTCCTGTTCTGAAATGCTCACAGAGCCCTGAGGACAAAGCATCAGATGTCATCAAGAGGAACACAGGCTGCCATGCACAATTTCAATATCTAACATTTATTCAATTTTTTTCTTTATTTTCTTTTGCCTTGCAGGCACTTTTTTTTTTTTTTTCTATTAATAAACTGTGGTTTTTTCACTTTCACCCCTTGGTATCCATTACTCTCATTGGTGAAAGAAAAGGGAATTATTGAAGCCCTTTTTGCTTAGAGGAAATGCTCATTCCAGGGCATTTTCTCCTGAAACTTGTCTCAAAACCAAGACACACGCTTTATGCAGTACCCTGACTTTACTAAATCTGCCAGTAGTGCCTCTAGCACCACTGTAGAAATTGCCTCTGCAAACAGAAAGCCCATGTTATATTGGCTATTCTAAGTTGGTAACTTTCAAGGTTTGTCCATATTTCCAGCACTGGACAGGGGGGCATATCTTGCTTATATATCATTCAAACCTTCATGAGGCAGTTCTTTTTATACTGCTTCTGTTCAGAATTAGTTTGGTGCTTTCAAAGTTGGGCATTAATTTTTTCTTAATAAGATATCATCATAAAACATGCAATTTAGTGCTTCGTTTCTTCCAATTTCCATACAGAAATCCAACTCTGTTAAATTTGAGTTTCAATCCCCCTGGCCCTTCATGTAACTCGTGCTATAGACTGTGAAGGGTTACCGACCCATAGCAAATAAATTAATAAGCTTGCATAATTATATTTGGGTCATTTTATTTCAGACCGTGAAATCAAAATCTCTGTTCACATTAGTGCAGGAATTGCTCTAACTAGCCATTGGGGCTCCCTTGATATACCATCTGCAAATGCAGCAGTCTGGCACCTGCTGGAACAAAGAATCCATGCTCATAGATTGCATGCATGTTTTTTTCTCATTACCTTTTCTGGGCATCATGTTTGAATCCTATTTCTAGCCATTTCCTGTCTCAAAAGAGTAACTCTGCTTTACAGCTTGATCTTTGTCTTTTGTAGTCAACAGTTGCTGAAAAGTGTCACATGACTACCAGGTAGGTCAGATTACCTGCCTCCAGCTGTTCTGGGGTGCAGAGCAGAATGTATTGGCATAGGCACCAGAGAGGACTCTTAGAAAGCCTGGGAAGCAGGGCTGTGCTTCTGATAGGAAAATGTGTCATAGCGCTGTTGCTTATCCAACTTCTCTTGGCCTCATCTGCTAAATGCATCATCTGCTAAAAGGACATTGTCTTTATGACAGCTTGAGTTTTGGAGGTTCTTACTTGGCTCTTCTTGGCTCCATTTGACCTCATGATCACTTTAAATTGAGGCTTGAGAAAGATCTGCATCTTGGATTGCTGCCGTTCCCAGGAATCTAACTGAGCTTGAAAAATAGTTATAGCTTCTATACCTTATAATGTGGTCACAGAGGATAAGGCTGGTAAGGTTAACATCTAAGTTACTGTGGTCATTGCTATAGGCACCTTAGGATCCATCACAGAGACATGTCCATTACACACAGCATTGAGTCATGAAGAGGGATCTTCCTGCTCCTGCTGTGTGTTTAAAAGGGCAAAACAGAACCATCATTCCATGTATTTCCCCACTGCAGAGACTGACAGAAAACTATTTTTGCCTATAACAAACAACAATATGGGCAGCCTGTCAGTGACTGACCACCTGACATCTCTTGAAAAAACAGCTGCATAGAGCTGTCTTGTGAGGTGGGCCAGCTGCCATCCACAGCTGGATGTAAATTGCCCATGCACACCATGGTGAGGAGGAGGAGGAGGAGCATGAGAGGATTTTAGTTGAGAAAATAGAATTGGAATGTGCTCCAGAATGGGAGATTAGTTCACTGCATTACTTATGATATATTAGTCAAATAACAGTAGAGAGAAGTATCTAGAACTTCATGAAGTTCAAAGCTAGTGAGCTACTGGCAAATATCTACAAGTAACAGGGCAACTTTTAGACAGAGTTAGTTCATTGGTGGCTATAAAAGTGACAGACCTTATTCAGCCTCTGCATGATAGGTCTCAAAAACGGTGGCTTCTGGATGGTAAGAGGATGCACCAAAGGAAAGATCATGCTGTATGTGCCCTGTGCTGATGTACTTTTCCTAAGCATCTGCTGGTAGCCCTGTCAGCTTTGTACACTGAGTAAGATTCCCTCTAATCTAGGAAGAGAGCTCTCAGGTTTTTCTAAAGGAGGATCTGTGGGGAGAGAGGTTATGGTAGCAGGAAAATGACATCTTTCCCAGCTCCTTTACAGCAGAAATGCCTCAGTTCTCCCCTCAGTAAGCTTGTTGAAGTCCCCACCCATCGCAGTACAACTTGTATATGAATAGCTGAGGGTAGAACTTCTGGAATTCACGTTTCTATATATTTAATATAACATGAGAAGAGCTTACCTGTCTGGAATTTTTGATGCAGCTATTTCATACAAGGGTGATTTCTAGCAGATGTAGCCATTTTATACTTATAAAGTTAGCAACGATTTTGGCATTTGTGTGCAAGAAAGCCACTGAAAGAAAATATGAATCAGAAATTAAAGTAAGTCTAAGCAGAAATGAAAGCAGCTGCCAGCTTCCAGAATAGCATTTCAAAAGTTTAATTGTGTAGTCATCACCCTTTTAAACTTAAACCATACAGAGTTTGGCAAGAGAAAAAACAGAAACAACAACTAAAGAAAACCCCACCACAACACTTTTTGTCACATTAAGGGACACACAAAAAGATGATTTTGTAATTTTAGCGATGACTTCCTTTGAAAATCCTTTTCATTTGTGTCCAGCACATGGGGGATGCCAGGTCCATTGCCGATGAGGTGGACCAGCCAACAGGGGGCAGGCAGAGGACAGAAATGAGCATCAGAGACCGACACCCCTTCATTGGAGAGCCCAGAAAAGCAACAGTCAGTCACCCTACCAGCAGACCTAGCTGGTCTCCAGACTGATTCATTAGACAGACACCTCCCTCCCTGCCTCATCATTTCGTTATGACACAGGAAGATGTCAGCCTTTCATGGGACAAAAGGACATTCTCAGGAATGCAAAGGACTGAAATATCATCTCATACCCTGGCATGCTTCCAGGACACCAAGGATGTGCAGTCTCCTTAATCACAAGTCCTTTTTTGGTCCTGCTGCATTTTAAGAGACTAGTCTGACTCAAAGACGATATCAAGTTCGCCTAAAGTAGCCTGGAGGATTTGCATTTGAAAGCCATCCAGTAGAAGCCTTACCAAACTAGCTTTTCTGAAATTAAAAACATAAAGGAGGGTCTTGCTTGACAGTGCTTTTTTTTTTTTTTTTTTTTTTTTTTTTTTTTTTTTTTTTTTTTTTTTTTTTTTTTTTTTTTTTTTTTNATTATTATTATTATTCTCAGTTTTGCCCTTGGGAGAGAACAGATTTCTGCCTCCATTATAACAGTTTTGGAAGGTATGGTATTTTTATTTGGGTGAGGTCATTAAGCAGAACACCAAAAGGACAGACAGAAGGTATTTTGGAAGGCTGTGTTTTCACTCTGCAGATGTAGTCATACAAGTGCACCTCTGCTTCACAGCACTGTTCCTACACCAAAAGCCAGTGTTCAAGAAGATCAAATTAAAATGGGCAGTTTGGCATTGTAACTGGGTTGGTTGCTGGGTCTTAAAGGAGTTTATTGCTATGGCATAAGGTTGCCAGAGCATAAAATTAGAGGCTTGACAAGTAAGGATTTCTCATAGGATCCTATACTTCTGGTGGACTCTGGGGCCAAACATAACCAGCTCTGACTTTCATCTCAGATATGGGATAGTTATAAATAAATGAGAGATTACCCTCCTCCCTGTGAAACAAGAGAAGTGAGGAAAGGAATATTACCCAATGAAATCACTACAGCCTAATCTTTTCAAAACACTGCTACTGAATTCACACTACTGTCAGTTCTTCTTTGCTGCCTCGACTTTCTAGAGCCCTTTTTCAATTATTTCCTAGTCTTGAATTTTAAACTCAAGTCTTCTATCTCTGTTTATGATGTATGGTGAAATTTTTCTCACATACACAGGACCTCCTTTCCTCAACAGTTGCATCCATCCCCATTGTTCCTTTCAAGGTACTTTATCTATTCATCTATTCTTGTCTACTTCTCTTTTATCAGCCCCAATTTTCATGTAATTTTGCATTCTTAAGCAAAAAGATCTTTCCATTTATTTTTTTCTTAGGCTCAATGTCAAAAGCTCACTCCTTCCCCATAACACACTCCACTGCTGCACATTTCTTGTCATCTTCTAGCTCCAATATTTGCTAGCAGACATGACAAAGACTGGGAGCCACAGACACATTCAGAAACATAGTAACTGGAATAGAACAATTTAAGACAGTGGCATTTCAACATGGATGTCACTTCAGTTCTGTCCCCATCATTAATTCTAAAGGATTCTTTCATCTCTACATTATTGTATTTTAAAGCTCTATAAAGGAAGTTTCTCAAAATTCTTAAGCAATTCAGAGCACATATCCTAGTCAGAAAGCAATCATGTGTTGTTTGGTTTTTTTTTTTTTAAGCTGGTGGATAAATCATATTTGCAGGGTGGTTTCCTATATTCATTGTTCAAATTGCTCCATGATAGCTGGGCCATGGGGAAATGTCAGCTTCTCAGAAACTTTCTTTATAAGCAAGTACCATTACCTGCCTAAAAACTGCTCAGTTAGCAAAAGCCTTTGTTCGACTTTTTTCTTTCTCTAGGGGACACAGCTGGCCCTCTCCTATGCTCCCTCAAACACCTTGGATTTGTGAATGGCTACAAAGAGGCATTCTCACCAGATTCTAGAGGTGTTTGTTAGCAACACTGAGCAAGAACAAGATGCTCAAGGTCTGCCAACAAATGTGAAAGGTGTGTGTGTCAAGCCCAAGATAAGCAAAATACATGTTTCTTTACACATTATTGCTCCAAGTCAGCCCCAATATATTGTCCATCAAAGCCAGACAGTCTATACAACTCACTGGACCACACTGGGACCCAGGTAACATATTTCACAAATTCTCCTGAGAAAGAGCAGGAGCATTAGCAAAGCAGCACATGAATTAAAGCAGGCTTGATCCTCTTTAGTGTACACTCTGAGCCTGGGGCCCACTAAGAACCTTCTGATCACTTAATCTGCCTATCTGGAGGATCTGTATATGTATGAGATAATCCTGGTAATCAAGAGTGTAGATAATAGCAGTATTATTTTATTCCCATAAACATTTAAAAATAAATGTTTTGTTCTCCAGTGCAATCTGTTACGTAAAATTCACACACGCTGAAAAAGAAAACAAACATGTCAGAAAACTGTGGAAATGTAACAGGAATAAAAGCAAGGATTAAGTATCTCAGAAGGCAAAACACACTAAGTAAAAACATTTTGACTGGATACATGTTTTCCAATCAGAAATTACTGATAAACAACATAGAGCTGATACTGTATTATGGGAGGTGTCGGGAAGTATAATCTATTTACATACTGTAGTTGTGTACCCAGAACCCTTGGACCATGACAGGCAGGAGCAGGAGACAAAAGGAGACTGATGTGTGTGGCTAAGGCAGAGGCTGACAACTCCTTCTATCCAAGGGATGGAGAGCTGGGAATATTGGGGCAGTGGGGGACAAGAGAAAGCCCATAGCCAAGAAGGGTAGTCCAGGCCTGGCTTGCTGGTGAGTGATCACAGCAGTTGCAGTCCTATTCTGGTGCCCCCCTTAGAAATGTAGTCTCTGCTTGAGTCCTGCTTAGCCCATTATGTCACCACTAAAGCCAAAGAAAAATGTTGACAATTCAGAGACAGGACTGAAGGATGAATGTCACCGATATGGCTCAGTTGGTAAGAGCGGAAAGTCCAGTCCTCTCTCAGGGCTGTAACCACAGTAGAGCAGGAGCAAATCCTGTTAATGGCGTTTTCCTAGCCTTTGCATCTCTGAAAAAATGGACTCTTGATCTTTCCTGGTAGAATTTCTTCTGATGAGAATTTCCTTCTGATCCTAAGGGAATTGTAGCAAGGACCAGAGGTCACTGCTATGACAAATCATAGGTTCAGGAGCAGCAGTTATTGACAAGCTTCTGTTCAGTGAGCACCAGAATAATCCCCTAAATCATCAGGGGAAACTCAGGTCACCTTCCATTCCACACACCTCTAACTGTGGTTTATTAATAGACTGAATAAATTTGCAATTTCTACATAAGGTTAGTCTGTTCTATTGAATTTGTTTTGCATTTGTTTTGTTGGGGTTTTTTGGGATATTTTCTGGAGGGGGGTGACTCTAAGATGAACAATACTTACTTTGTATCACTCTCCTTGAGAAAAATCTCTGCAGTCTCACCAGTTTCCCAAACTTCTGCAGCCTTCACTCACATGGTGTAGGATGGAGAAGAACTTTCTCTACAGCCAGGCACTCCTGTTTCTCATTGGTTTTAACTTGCAAATTTATAATGAGAGATACATCTAGGAAGGGATGGGATGTATTTGAAATTTAACAGTGGAATCTGGTTTCTTAGATTTCTAGCTATTATACTACAGCAAAACATTTTGTGATAAACCACAGCACTACACTTTAAAATTGGACTTGAAAAATCATCTACATCATATACCATCTGCAGAGCAGGAATTACTCACCAGGAGCTCTTGAGCAACAACAAAATAAATTTATACGTTTCTGCCAGAAGGATTGTGCCAAAAAGAGCAGACTAACCAAGAAATAGTTTTTGCTACACAGTACTTACACAATTCTGATTATTGCTGTGACCCCCAAGTGACTCAGTTTGTCTATCTTCTGGAAAAGTATGCCGGATACCAATATGATTCATTATTCTTATTGCATTCATGGCAAAGTTTTTGTTGGTTTTTTTTTTTTTTTTTACTTTATGATTTTGGTTTGATCCACAACAAAGAGGCTCTTTGCAAAATCTGGATTGATTTTGCCTTTCAAATTCTCATTACATTCAATGAAAGCTTAATCCAGCACTATTGAAGATTGAAGTCAGTGAAAGTTTTGCCAATGGCTTCAACTGGGAGTAAGAATTTAATTATGCACTAGTGAGAACTGTCAGCATTTGATTCCAGTACTTGCAAATGCAGAATATGAGCCTAAACAGATTACAGTT